AATATATATTCAGTCAAAGTTTAGAATCATTGACTTGAAAAATCAAATAGTTCTAATTATGAGTTTAGTCCTTGATGATTTTATTGTTAATAATATAGGATACTTGGTTATTTTTTTAAAAAAAATAATAATTTATTCACAAAGAGTGTACTTCTCAAGTGAAAAATTCTGAAATTATAAAGATTTATTAATTATATGAACAAATTTGCAAGCGATAAAAGATACACGACTAATAATGGACCCAATTAGAAATATTAGGGGTGGGCAATTCGGTTTACGGTTCGGTTTTCTTCGGTTTCGGTTCGGTTTCGGTTTATTCGGGTTGAGAGAATTTGTACCAAACTAAAACCATTTGTTTTTGGGTTTGGTTTCGGTTCGGTTTCGGTTCGGTTCGGTTTGAAGTTCGGTTTACCAAAGTAAAAAATATTATGTTTAATTTAGTTTGATTTGATTCGTTTGCTTGTGATTATTATTTTATTTCATCAAATTCTATATTTTAGGATTAGAAAATGAAAGTAGTAGTCCATCTCATCTTTTATAAATTTATTGATTATTTAAATAAAATGTAAAAGGAAATAAAAGATAGAAAAATAAATAATAAAATATTATAAATTAAAACTTCTAACACCTTTTTATCACTACAAAAAATTCACTTCTTACAAAAAATAAGATAGTTGATTAACATTTATAATATCACATAAAATATTTAAAAAAAAGCCTAAAAGAGTCGATGATACAAATGTTGTAATATTCACAATTTTATTCAAATGAATCATGTAAAATATAAATGCAATTTGCTATTTTTATCGCCAAACATAATAAATACAAATATGTCGTATTAGCTAACTTTGTCATAAAGAATGTATGAAATGTGTAAAAGTTAAAATGATACGAGTATATGCTTAAATATGTATTTTCATGTCTAAATTATTTATTTATATCTTAAAAATGAAGAGTGAAGATAAATACACTGTATATACATATATATGTACATATATGTTGTTCAGTGTTCGTTTCGGTTTACGGTTTTCCCATTTTAAATTAAACCAAATCAAAGTACCAAACCATTCGGTTTGAGCAAATGTTTACCAAATGGTTTACTTTAGTTTACCCATACCAAACCAAATCAAACCACCAATTTTAATACTATATGAAAGTTTTTTTGAGTTTCTTTAGTTCGGTTCGGTTTTGTTCGGTTTTTATCGGTTTCGGTTTGGTTCGGTTCGGTTTAATACGGTTTGGAAGAAATAGTACCAAACTCAAACCAAATTGCATACGGTCCGGTTTCGGTTCGGTTTAGTTCGGTTTGGTACGGTTCGGTTCGGTTAAACCAAACCGTTATGCCCACCCCTAAGAAATACATTAGTAAAATTCCAAATCGCCCGCTATATATTCTCATGGTACAGGCTATATATTCCAAATCGCCCCCTAAAGTCAAACAACGAAGAACAACCAACTTATTGTTTCCCTACCTCCCCCATTTTCATGGTGATGAAGAGGTAGTATGTGTTGCATTTTGAAAAGGAACCGTATAGCGCAAATAATGATGTGATCATGTGAAAATGATGAAATCGAATTATAAATTCAGAGCAATTGAAACAAGGAAACAATGCAAAGAATATAAGGAAATGTAATACGGAGTAGAAATAAGTTAAGGATGTGATCACAATCCTTTTCAAATCTAAGAGTGAAAACATCCGCGACAATTAACACCGAGCAAATTAAAATTGCTATTCAAACAATTTGGACAGACGAGGGAATGGCGAGAGTGTTATTTTGGATCTTAACAACTAATTATGAACAATTAAGTTATCAAACACTTTATTTTGATCCGTTTATAATAGAGGATATATAATCAAAACAGTAACACAATATGTCGATATCGAACCGTCAATATAATGGACTTTTCGCGAACAGCTCAACACCTAATTGTCAAACACCCATTAATGAATAATGAGATGATAATTTATACTATGTACATATTAGAACTTCTCCAATGCTACAATGTGCACATATGGTGTGAGAGATAGCCACATAAATATTAGCAAATAAATTATCTCTCTCCTTATTTGAATGATTTTGTACACTTTTAGTAATTTTTTCTCTGCAATATCAACATATAGACGGTCTTCTCGACATTGTGGATAAAAATTTACTAAAATGGTATAAATCACTCAAATATGGAGAGAGATAAATTATTTGTTAATATTTATGTGGTTATTTCTCATGCCACATGTGCACCATTCACATCGTACATACTAATCAAATTCACTACCGATGCAATACCCTAGCTCATTTATTTATGGGTAGATTCTATGGTATCCAAAAGGTATCATATCTTTGTCTATTTGGATCAATCAGAATGCTGCAGTTAAATTAAAAATGATATAATGATTTGCCCTTTATTTATTTATGAGGTAAGGTAGCCACTATCCGTCACTATAAACATAATGATTAGTTGTGAAGTATAGGTATATATTTGAGCGTTCACCGCCGCATGGGCCTATCTCCATCCACCCTCCGACGTAAGATTGGTCAACAAACACCGGTCCACCCGCCCCTCCGTCACCCTCTTTTATTTTTGCTACTACGACAACTGTTTTTCCTTGTCATCTCGCGCGATCGTATTTAAGGAAAAAGGAATATGGGACGGCCCCACGGCCGGCTGTGCATGGCCTCATCCGAGTTTAATTTATCTCAAACTCCAACTCATGTTTTTCCTTTCCTCCACACCATTCTCGTTTACCACCTTAAAGAACCACAACTACCCCGCTCCTATACTCCTCTCATCCGTGACTTTAATTAATCTTGCTTTATGGTGCCCAGATTTTAATTCAGGGATGGATTTAGGGGGGGCGCGGGGGGCGACCGCCCCCCTTGGACTTTCAAAATTTTCTACCATATATGTAATATTTTTATAAAAGTTTCATAATTTAATTAGATTCGCCCCCCTTAGCTTTTAATTTTCAAAATTAATATATGAGTCTTACATAATGTAATACTTAATTGAAGATTTAAAAGAAGGAACATCTAAAATAATTTACATAACTTAAACAAATAAACAATAGAATAACTCGTTGTTTAAGATTTAGGATACTTATTATATAAGAATTCCTAGTTTTGTAATGTTTAATTATCTTTATTAGATAACAAGTACTCGATTTTGTAAAATATATATCAAACAATATTAAATATCAGACACACTAATTACACAGTTTTTGGATCACATGAAATGAATCCAAAATATAAATGTTTATTGACATTGAATTACATAATTCATTTACTTCTTGCTTTCTACAAATAATTTATTGCATAGATAATAAACATTAAATTATTATAGCATTAATACAAATATTAAAATATAATACGCACCATATATATGTGTGTGTATGTGATGCATATTATTCTAAAAATAATAATATTAAGAAAACTTCTAATGAGTCATATCACGAACACCCTCCTTGGTGGCCAGACAAAAATTACAATTCAATAATAACTGATTCATGAGGTTTAACAATGTAGAAGTTATTAAAAATGTATTGGTTGATGTCTTTGTCATCGTCTAATTTGAACTTAGAATGTATTACGTAATAGATTTAAATGTCGTTGGGGATGTGTATGTATTAATGTCATTTTTTGAATAAAAATAGCCGCATAGCCCTACAGTAGCGGAAAAAATTCGCTCCGCTACACTAGGGAAAAAAATTTCGCCCCACTACACTAACGAAAATTTTTTCGCCCCCTACACTAACGAAAAATTTCGCCCCCCTTGAATCGAAATCCTGGATCCGTCCCTGTTTTAATTGAATTGTAATTTTTTGGTGAGACCTGCTATAATTAAGTCTGATCTCAATGATTTGCTTTATCATAACATATTTTTGGCACAACGTCATGCAAAACATCTAATGATGAAATGACATTGACACGGATTTAATGAATCCGTGCCAAATCCGTGTCATATCTGTGCCATATATACCATATGAATTTTGATGAGTCCATGTCAAATCTGTGGAATTTTTTTCCATTTGTCCTTCCGATTTTGTGTAGCATTGGATGTACTCACTCGAAAATGTATTAGAGTATAATAATATAAATCTGAATTTTAAGATTTGATGATTAGCATAAACTTAAGAGAGAGATTTTCACATAATATTTATAATTTTATATAATTGAAATGTTTACATAAACATATGTTTAAAGAATCAATACATATGCATATATAATTCAATGTCTTTTTAATACGGAGTACTATGCACTCTGTAATTATGTTGTTAAAGAACACTTATTAATATTATTGATTAGTTATACACCATACGTTTTAAGTGAGATTAAAAAAATATATATATAAATACTATTGTCATATTAGAAAATGTAATTGATACTCCATATATTTTTTAGAAAAATATCACCACAACTTAAAAGTTAAAAAATGAAAAAATATCCTCCCTCTATCCAGTGGCGGACCCAGAAAGTCGGAGCCGAAGTTAGAGATTAAAAATGCAAATCTTTCTATACAATATAAATATATTGTACTAATATGAAATGATACACCAATACTAATATTCATGTATAAAATTCACATGATTAAGGGATTAAAAAAAGTGCCAAAACCACATCATTTTTGGCGGGGATCGAACATGGGACCTCAAGTGAAATAGAAAGCCTAAAACCTACGATTGCTCCATTCTACTAATTAAGACGGCCTCTTGCTTCCAGGGTCGTTTTTATTGTATATATACATTTCCCAATTAATTTATATAAAATATATATAATATATAGGTAATTTTTTCGAAGTCAACGGGGTCCCGGGACCCCGTGCGACCCTTAGTGGGTCCGCCTCTGCCTCTGTCCCGTTCCAAGCTTCCTCATTCCTTTTTAGATGTCCTATATATATATATGTATGTATATGGCTCAGCGTTTAGGTTTTTTTGCTGAATCACGCTCAGCTCTTAGGGTTTTCATCTGCAAGAATGGCTGAGAAGGCTTTCTTGAAGCAGTCGGGAGTTTTTCTCAGCTCAAAGAAAACAGGTAAGGGCAAGAGGCCCGGAAAGGGAGGCAACCGTTACTGGAAGAGCATCGGTTTGGGCTTTAAAACTCCTCGCGAGGCTATTGAAGGTACATACATTGACAAGAAATGCCCTTTCACGGGAAATGTTTCTATTAGAGGTCGTATCCTTTCCGGTACTTGCCATAGTGCTAAGATGAACAGAACAATCATTGTTCGCCGTGACTACCTCCAGTTTGTGAAGAAGTATCAGAGGTATGAAAAAAGGCACTCAAATATTGCTGCTCACGTGTCACCATGCTTCCGTGTGAAAGAGGGCGACTACGTCACCATTGGTCAATGCAGACCATTATCCAAGACCGTTAGGTTCAATGTTTTGAAGGTGATTCCTGCTGGTTCTGCCAGTGGTGGAAAGAAGGCATTCACTGGACTGTGAAGTGTACGTAGTTTCTTGTTAACTTTTAAAAGTTTTCTAAGTAATGATATTAGACTATGTTGCTTGCTGTTGAGTTCTTATTTGTTTGGTCTTTATCCTACATTTTGTACTCTAAATTATAGAATGCATTTAAATTTTGGCAAAAAAAAAATGTATATATATAAATTCTTATTTCTATTTCAAAAAACAATAAACACTCTGAAATGATATATTCACCATCAAATACTAAAAATAAGCTATCTATAACATCACATTTATCATTAATGACTTCACTATATCATATATCCATTACATTATTTAACAAAATACACTCGATCGAATTACCCATAACATTCATCATCAATTAGGATGTTTTAAATTTACTTATACAGTAATTTGTTGGTTTGGTCTATTCAAGTCTGATCTGGTCTGGTCTGTTTAAGTCTAATCTAGTCCGGTCAGGTGAATGCCTGGTCTCTGTGTGTTTTATAATTACGGAAGTCTGGCCTGATGTGGTATGGTCTGTTTAAGTCTGATACGATCTGCGACCGAAAGTAATCCAAACAAAAACATCCTGAACCTATTATTTTTAATTGAATGAACAAGTAGCCAGTCAAGTGAGATCATTGTTGACAAAAAATTCTAAATTTTAGATTATTTTAAAATAATGGATAATTGAAATTATTATGACTTATGAGCAAAACGTCAATATATAGTTGAAATGTTTTTATCAATTTTTCCTAGAAATAAACCAATTAAATAAACGTATAGTAGTGCTTACAGTACACTTTTATTGATGAGCACCTAGCTTTGAGTCTATAATTTAACTAAAAACTAAGAAGGAATACTGATGAGCATCGATCAATTATTAGGAGATCATTTCTGATCTTATTAATCGCCTCAAATGAGTATCAATTACTCTGTCTCGTATCTTTAATTTATCCTAATTTTTGTTTTGCGTGCAGTCTTATCAATTTGTCATTTCCAGTATACTTTTATTTAATCTGTGTGGTAAAAAGGTGTTAGAAATTTTACAAGTCCGATAGGAGATTTTCAACTAAATAAAATGTTTATGCGTATATATGACACTCTCTTGGAGCACTCCCTCCGTACCTGAATCAACCCAATTTTCATTTTTCATTCAATCGCAATTGATACTACCTCCGTCCCACTAAGATCTTCCTGCTTTCCTTTTTTAGCAGTCCCAAAATGAAGTTCTCATTTTCATAAATAGAAAGTTATCATACATCAAAACAGTGTCAAACAGTGTCATAACAGTAAATTTTACCACCTGATAAGTTTATTTCCTGAATATGTGTATGTCAAACTAAGAAGATCTTAACGGGGCAGAGATAGTATTTTTCTTTCCGACAAAATTTACCTTTCACAACATTTGTTACATATTATTACTCATTTTTTTTCTCTGCACAAATATTCACAACACATTTCTCTCTTTTTAAAATTCACGCAAAATTCACTTTACAAGATAATTCAACACGGATGGACTATATATTCCAAAAATGCATGGTGAAGTAATGACACGGTATAGTAAATAAAAATTGAAAAATAGTGGGCACCGTAAAAGCGTTGGGCAGTAGAAGCGCAAAAAGGTGAAAGCGACGGTAGGGTCGTTTTGGTGCATGCATGGTCAGGCGAGGTTGACCACACACAATAATGATAAGGAGGGAGGAGGACAATGAGTATGTTAGTTTTGAGACGGGGAACACGCATTGATTGTATGTTTCATCCTCCTGTGGGCCCCCACTTCTCCCCCATCGCCTGTTGACTTTTAACCCCCATTAATTAATATTACCACTTACTGCTTACTTAACAAACATAATCCAAAACTCCCATTTCAAACTCCATCTGTTTCAATTTAATAATCTCAAGGTCAACTACTGTAATGAAATTTACTAAAACTGGTTTGTTCTTGTACACACTTTTATACCCATCATGTCTGTGAGTTTTTTATGTGTATGAATCCGATTCACAGACAAAATAATTTGCATAGACATATTTTGTCTGCGACCGGGATTCATAGAAGAAAAAAATTCTCACAGACATAGTGGGTATAAAAGTGGATATAAGAGGGGTACAAAAAGTTTTTGAACTAATTAAGCAAGTTAACATTTAGAAAACATTGAGTGATTTGAATTCATCTCTGGACATATTTAAAAGGAAGAATTTGACTTTGCATCCCATGTTTTTTAGGAAAATTGGTTTGTATGTCATGATACCAATTTAGAAACTAATACCCAACTATGAATGCACCTTCTCGTTATTCACAATTGCAAATTAAAGCAGAATATATGTACATATATAGATCAGTTGTACGACATTCGGTTGTGGAAAGCAAGTAGACAAGTGGAGGGGTCTAAGTAGAATACATTCTACGCTTATCATTTCCATATTCCTCAAATAATGATCATCCAATCCCAGGGCTAGTTTACTGGCTGCACAATCAATAATTTTGAACAACTTTGAGTGGTTAAACAATCAGTGTTTATTTTCTATTCATATTTTTGAAAATGTTTGATCAATCGTTAAAACCGCTTTCATGTGCATAGTGGAATATAGACGAGTGTTGAAAATTTATAGGATTTTTCGAAAAAACTTCGCTCAAGGATTTGAAACATAGGATACAGGATTCAATTAGTACGCCAAATCTGGATCACACCTCTTTCACACCTCTTTATTTGATTGTAAATTTTTATGAATTCAATGTGCTAAAAATGCGAAAATGGCCTCACTTAGGAGTACATTAATCCATAAATACTCAAATAGAAGTATAGAACAAAACAACAAAATGCGTATGAAAATGACTTATTACTCTTTGAAAATGTGCATTTTTTTTCTCAAAAATTGTCATCAAGATAGCATTATTGGTGCATGTTATCATTCTTTACATTTTTTTATTTTTGCAATTTTCCCTTGTTTTTTTTTTACGTTTTTACAAAAAAAAGTTATAAATAATACTCCATATTAGTTAAATACTTTTATGATTTGATTATTACTAAAAATTTGAATGGTATAAAAACATAGCAATTACTAAGGGTTGGATTGGTAAAGTACTTCTATTAAATGTTATACTCTTATTAATTTCCATTTAGTGGAGTTTTCCCTACAAATTTGTACTACGTATGGCACATTGTATTATACGGACATAATGACATTTGACTAGTTTTCAACACTATACGCACCCACATTACTTTTCTTATTCAATTCACGTCAATGAATGACTAATATAATGATGCACATATATCATGTGGAGTATAGCCTTACTTATTACTGAATATTAGAGGTTCTACTCGAGTAGTCAAGTATGACAGTATACGGCTAGCCAAGAACCTTTAAAGGCTTCAACTAACATTTCAAGTATACGGAGTATTTCTAAAGGTATGTTGTTCACCTCGAACGTAACAATATGATTACCACATAATTATTTAAGAAGAATATAATACGGAGTACATATAATGAAAAAAAATGTTAGATGTATAGTTCTTTTGTACATCATTCGCATACTATGTTTGTATGCATAAACATAAACATAGTTCTGTGCATACAGAAAATTTCTGTATCTACAAATGAATTGTCTCTATACAGTTTTATGCATATGTATACATACAAAATGTACGAATATGTACAAAAATGTGTACACCAAACATTTCGGATACAATATAGGACCATTGATGAAGAAGTTTATTTGACCAAATGGTATAGGTAGCTGGATATACCAAGGGACACCAGCAATAATAATGAAGAATATATATAGGCATTTTCAGTTCACAGTACATTCAAAGTTATGGGAAACTAGCATATGAATTTATATTACCACGATGGGTTATTATTGAGCAATGTTTTGTCCTTATGTATCTCACATTTTACGAAAAAATCTGTGTGTCACGTGTGAAATTATATGCCTCATAAAACTGCAATTTCAAATTTAATGCACACAGTATTAGTGGTAGTTGGACACATTGGATGGATGCTGTTAAAAGTTTATATTACCCCCATTTATTTACTATACTATTTCGGGACACGCGATATGATATCTCCATCTTTAATTTATTTCTTCCATCATTGGACCTTGCTCTTGCTGCGTGCTTAAAAAAGTTATTACCTCATTATTTTGCATCATTAGTTACATATTGTGGTGGTCAAACACAAACGAAGTCAGACTTTTATATTTCCTTTTTCATGATACAAACACACACTAATGAGTTCGTCTGCCGATGTTGTCGAACCATAACAAGCACACTCACTCATAATTAACACGTTTGATAACCGTATTTGTTTACCTTATGAGCCTTGCCATGCCCAATTATTTTACTGATTATTGTACTAATCATTAAGTTTTTATTTCACGTTAAATTATGTGACAATTGAGATGATTAGATACTCCACTAGCTATTTGAGATGAACTTGTAAGTTAAAGGAGAATTTTGCATTTTCATTTTCTATTAATCGGCATGAACAAAATTTTGGAGTAGATGTAATAATAAAGAAAAAGTTTTTGGATCAATTCCAGATTCAACCAATTTGCGGAACATCTCCATAATTGTAAAAATGTGTAAATATTGGAACAAATACAAAATCTACACATAAAATTGCACTTGAATACAAATTAATTAAATAAGATGAAAAATCAACATATAGTTAAAACCTACTCAAAGTCAATATAGAAGAGCCCATTGAACGACATATCAAGGCACCGAGTCAAGCAAAGAAAGTTAATACTTCACACACAGTATAAAGACTAACAAAAAATCATCCCTCCATCTCTAAAACTTAGCTAAATGAGTGTGTGCCCATGTGTTTTCGCGTGCACTTGCACATATGTGTGTATAAATGAGTGTGTGCCAATGTGTACACGTACACATTAACGCAACACGCCCATGTTTATGTATTTGTAATTTTTTAAGTTAAGAGGGGCAACTGTCCCCTTCACGCTATATACGCCAAGGTGAAGGGGGCAATAAACGTGAGATCATAAAAAAAAAGAAAATAAAGTTGAATGTAATCTAGTTATGTACATGCCATTTTTGACACCCAACAATCCACCTTATCCTTGAAAGAGAAACTTAAATTCTATAATTAAGCATATATGGTCTTTTATACAACTTCCATAACAAAACAAAGTTCGAATTTAGATGTGTCATTTAGAAATGGAAAGTCTTGGAGTTCATTTACTAACTCAAACTTGTATGCTTGACCTCAAGGGCTACAAATTTTGATGAGATGTATTGAACTTTCAACCCCGTACACACAGATGTATGTATGCAATGTAGGTAAAATAGTGTACAAACTAGCGTCGTAAATTATATGGTACAGTCGGCTGTACCGTGCGCACGGTACAGCCGGACTTTTAGTTCGCAAATTGCAGGCTTCCATCGCAGGCTTCCGTCATCGCAGGGCTTCCATCGCAGGCTTCCATGGTCGATCATCCTTGCTCGCCGCCTACTAGCACCTCTCCCTTTTTCGACAACCGCAACCCTTCAGCAGCTCTCCTTCAGCTTCGTCCTTAACTTCGCACGCTCTGCTCCTTTCTTTTCCTTTTTCTATTTTTCTCACACGGATTATTTTAGTTTGGTGGTTTTTGGGTCAGGGATAACCTAGGTTGTACGTAATTCTAAAGATATGAGCATACGCAAATAAAAGTTTGAGCATGGTGGTGATTTTAAATGAACCTAAAAGAAATGAGTATACGTCTAAAAGAAATGAACTCACACAAACTAATATTGAACACATTGAAAATGAGTTTCATGTAAAATTGAAATGAGTATAATACCCAAAATGAATGAGCATACTCAAATGAGTTTTTTGAACGCTCATTTCGTAATTTATGTATACTCATTTGATATTAGTACAATACTCTTTTTAAAATGTCATATTCATGCATATTTCAAAATGAGTTTTAAGTTAAATTCAAATGAGTATTATGCCCAAAATGAATGAAAACACAAAAATGAGTTTTTAATATTTTGATACTCATTTTGTAAATTATGTATGCTCATTTGGTATTGTTTTATGCTCATTTTAAAATGATGCACATATCAAATATACGCACAAAATCAATGAGCATACACAAATAAAGTTTTGAATTTTTTTTATACTCATTTTATAAATTATGTATGCTCATTTTGTATGCTCATTTGGTACTGCTTTATGCTCATTTTAAAATGATGCACATATCAAACATATCATACTACATTAGATTCACATATTGAAATTAATTATAAACATAATTTAAGATTTTTAATTTTTATAAATGAAAAAATCATAAAAAGAAACCGAATTAGAAAATATGAAGCAGAGATCACTGGTGCTCATTGTTAGGCTTTTAATACTCAGAAGAACAGGCTCGATGCTCATCAAAATTACATCAATGCTCATTTACGAGAAACCACGAACTTCATGAAAATTACAAAACTGCCACCGGCTATACGGTGCCAGCCGTACAGCCGGCTGTATGGTATACGCTTCCAACTAGCGTTTAGTTTGTGGACGCACAAATAATTAATGTATGTGATAGACATTTTTTTTTGTTAACTTTAGGTGGCAGAACCCTCAAAACGAACCTCCAAACAATATCTTGGAGCAATGCAGCTAAGACACCTATCATGAGAACATGCTCGATTAAAACCCTCACATGAAGTACTTAATCTGTCCCGCTATTATTGTCTCATTTTACCTTTTCGGTCTGTCCCACTAAGATTTTCTCATACCTTATTAGGTAAAATTTGTGTGGTTCTAAATCATTCTTACTTTATTCTTACTTTATCAATTCAATATCAACCACATAAATTCACTTTTATTAATAACCGTGCCACCTTCTCTTGTCCCAAATTTAGGAGGACCGAGGTAGTACATGATAACCTTGTGTCACATAGGCATATTTTGGGGGCACTTCATTTGAAGAAAAGACTATTTTTAGTGCAGATAAAGAATATTAAAATTTGTATTATTTTAAAGAAGTTTTTGTGGCGGCTCGGCTCAACTCTATATAGGATATTTTTACTTTGATTGTTTTCAGTCCCCAAACCAAACCAGACTTAATCATACCAATCTAAAGTTAAACAAACCAGAACAGACCAGACTTTAATTTCATAGTTATAAAATACTCAAAGACTAGATGTTTACTAAACTAAACCAGACTCATTCAAATCAAACAAGATCAAACTAAAACAGACTAGACTAGACCACACCGGCAAATTTCACCCTTACTCTCCTAGCTACACCTCATTAAAGCTGGGTTCGATAAGTTACTTGAGTAAATGCCCAAACCGAACTACCACCCTACTTGAGTAAAGACTTTTTTTTCTTCTATTTTTTTTGTAGGAAAACTCTGACCGGCAAGTTTTGTTTGACTTTTTCTTTAGACATATAATTTGCATTTGACCAAATTTGACTTGCCATATTACCAATTGCCCGGCCAGTTGAACATACAATGATTGTCTGTGGGTACAAAATCATTGCTTCATTTTGAAATGGCTACAAAGGTATATTCCCCCCGTTTACTTTACTTCCTGGTTCCACCAAATGATTATCAACAAATTGAAAACCCATCCAATATCTACCACGCATGCGCTGCCCATTACAGTACTTACAAACAAACAAACAAATTGAACTGATCATAATAATAATCATAATAATAATATTGTTTGGAGCTAAAAAGTTGCCCCCTGCCAACACAGATATCAATCTTTGAAAACAAACCCAGAATCAGCAGAGCAGTTTAGTTTACACTGGATCTTACATCTCAGACATCATCAGGTTGCAGACCGGTGGCCGGGATTATATGCGACGGCGGCGGCGGCGAAGGGGAACAGTCTGGGCTCAGACGACAGACACGGAGATGCAATGGGCCGGGGCAGAGACCCGGCGGCGAGCGGCGGCGCGGTGGATCCGGAGGCGACCCTTTTGCAGGAGGGGCACATGGTCAGGGTGGTCGCCGGGAATTGCATCTGGAAGGGGTTCGGCGTCTTCAAAGCTCTGAGTTCCTGAACTTCTTTGTGCAGTTTTGTGTTCTCCACTTTCACCGTCTCGAAGCATTTCTTCCAGTTTTCGCAGTCCACTTCCGTCTGTTTCAGCTTCGTCCTGCCATTTTCAAATCTGTCAATTTCACCCCGCTAAAATGACTTAATTATTATTCACCCCACAATTTCACAAAATTGTACCTGGCCCTCCGGTTCTGAAACCACACCTCGACTTGCCTTGGCCGGAGATTCAGCTGCTTTGCAAGCACATGCTTTTGCTTCTGTTTTTGCAACTCACATTTAATTAATTAATTGAATTTCACTCTAATTTAGTCTTCAAATTAAATAATAGAAAATTCGGAAAAGACAACCATGTACCGATTCTGTTTTGGAGGTACTAAACAACATAAAAAGCTACACACGTAGTTAGAAGCATGGAAAAAGCTGGCTTTTTATCTTTAATAAAAGAAGATGCATTTTACTCGTTCTTCATTATTGCCCGGACTGTAAGAAGAAGAAGAAGATGTTTTAAAAATGGGTAAAGTTAACTTTTCCAAAAATAGATTTTTGAAATAATTACATAAATATGATCAAAATAAAGATGGTTTACAAAAATATGATTCATTACTAGAATAGTAATGAAATCATATTAATTCATGTTCAGTTTTGAACTTTAGTTACCACAGTACTACGTTATAGTAATGAATAGTCATATTGATGTAAATAAGTTTTATTTTAGTAATATTCTTGTAAAAAACCCTAGATTTTTCCATGAAATAATTTCAATTTTTAGTCCTAGATATCTGAAGAAAACAGAGAGAGAGAGATAAGTGATCTTAGGACAAAAGGGTGATTGATTTTAATATTTCAATAATGATTAATTGTACTTACAGGATTGAGAGTGTTGTGTTCTTTGAAGCTTTCTTCGAGAAAAGCGGACTGTTCTTTGGAAAGCCGGAGTTTTTTCCGGGCATTCCCGCAGTTCTCTTCATCGTCGCTCGCCCTCGAACTCACCCTGTCCGCCTCCGCCGCTCCGCCGTACACGGCGGCGTCGGGCCCATTTCTCTGATTTCCACCCCCGCCCACTTCGGGCACGGAGCCGTTCCGTTTCCTCTTGAAAATGCTGAAGTCGAGCGCCCTGAACGACGACGCGGCGCAGTTCGGAGACGGGGGATCCTCCGCCGACGTCACCATCGCCGGCATCGCTGCCTGAAACCCGACGCTCATGTACTGGGCAGGGGCGGGAGGTAGGAAGTCGAGCGGAATGGGGGATGGGAAAGCGACGAGGCGCTGATCTATGCTCCCATGAGGTTCTTCAGACGACGCCGAAACGAATTCGTAATCCTCGGCGTCGTCATCGTAATCTCCGTCGGCGCCGGCGGAGTCGTTTTGGGAGTCTTTATTGGCGGTGATGCCCAAGCCTAAGCTCAGGCCAAGCTCCATGTCTGATGTGAACTCAGTCATTAAGGCAGACAGCTGCTAACAGTACAGGTAAACTCTATATAAAACGGGTTTAGAGAGAGAGAGAGAGGGGGCTATGGATAGGATTTAAGGATTGAGAGTAGAAAGAGACTTTATATAGGGATACTACCCCACCCATATGTAAATTGGTAATAAACTTATTATTGCACACAAACCATTGGTTTTTCATTATTTGCAAAACATGTTTTTAGAAGTACTATACTATATATTGACCTCCCTTGATGTTTCAAGTATTATCACTTACACATTTACACTATTAAAAATATACGCTTACCTCCTTCCTATCCTTTAATGAATGTTTAATAACTCTTAATTACGTTTAGCAAAAGTATAAATTTGGTTTTATAAATTTACTAACTTGCGGATTTAATCTGATAATTAATAAATTTACCTGTATTAAGAATCTTTCCACCAGGAAGTACTTCTTTTGTAAGAACACCTACTTTTTGATGAAATAGCCCTTATTATTGACAAATTTATCAGGTACATAACTATATCTACATGTAAGTAAAATTATAGGACTAGTAGCAGACACAATCGAAATGTACGAGCTTAAAACAAAAAATCTCTATTACTTTTAAAAGTTCGAAAATATATCTGAGATTGTAGAAATTTTGGTGAAACTTTTCTAACGAGGGAAAGATGTCCAATAACGAGAATGTTATTTTATACCTAAAAGAGATTTTAGTGAAGGACTTTTAGGAGACTGTTGTCACCTATTGTAAATTTGTATGGGAAATACTTGCTTTTGTGGTTTATATTAGGGGAGAAAGGCCCGGTCTCGGGAATGGCAGATTTTTGAATTACGATTTTAGGTCGGGACTAAGACCAGACCGGTGAAAAAGAGGCCTCAAGCCTCACTTTTTGGGACTCGGATTGGAGCCCATGTTTTGACCCCATTAGTTTTTTTCATTGAAACCATTGAGAATATTTTAAAATGGGTTGTGAAAAATAGGTAGTTAAAAGTTTAAAAATAGGTAGTTAAAAATATTTAAATTATCGGGAGCGAACCTAGACCAATTAGGAGATTAAAACCAGAGATAAGGTCATAGGCCGCCCTAATTATTTAGCACTAACCAGTTTGGGTGTGAAACCCGTCCTAAACTATAATGTCTTTACCGGCATTTTACATGTAAACATGTTCATATTTTTTTAATATTAATTTACAAGTTATTATTATACCTATATGATCTCATTTCTAGTGATAACAACGAGTGTCTAGAGTGCAGATTGGGAATTTTCTTGCATTCAATTGAATGGTAAATTAAATAGTAAACTTCCCTTTTGAGTAGGTTTGGTTCATTTAAGTTGATTTGTTTCAATTTTTGACAAATTTAGCATATTTGATCATTTTCAATTGAGTAAATTTACTCTACAAATTCAAAGGCATAAATCGAACTACCTAGAGTGAGGTCAGTTTGGTAATTTTTTATATTTTGTTCGACTTCTGATAAAAAGGTCTTTAATATGGACAAATTTATTAATTACCTGACCAGATTTGTGATTGAATAAAACACAGTATTAAAAGCGGACATAACGGCCATTCCCGTTATGTGACCAGACCAAATTCGTGTTATATACTTAAATTTTATTATTATTATTATTATTATTATTATTATTATTATTATTTAATATTTATAACATAAAGCACATAAGTGATTAGTTATTATATACTATTGCATGTCATAATTCTACCATTCATGCATGTTAATATGTGTGTGTGTATTTTTCACACACATAAACATGATACTACCGTATTAATTTACTATGCATCATGTATCATATTTATGCAAAAATATTGATAAAAAAAATTGTGTCTCCGATTAGTCTCTGCCTAGACGCCCGTCTAAGCGGCTTGCCTAGCCTCCTAGGCGCTAAGCTTTGGGCTGGCACCCGATTAGCGCCTAGAGCCTTTTAGAACATTGATCATACTATTTGAAGCAACTCTCACAAAAAACGCATAGATAAATAATACTCCTTTCTGTTAAAATTGTTTTATTTTTCCTTTTCAAACCGTCCCATTAAGATTGTACAATTCCAAATTTAGTAAAAATTTTATGATTCTAAATCTTTCTTGCATTATTCTTACTTTATCACTTGAATATCAAGCACATAAACTCAGTTCTCTTAATAACAGTCTCATATCCTATTGTTATGATGTTAGTGAGACGGAGGTAATACTCCCTAAATATAGAAGTGAGGGAGTACTAGTAGCCTTTTTGTTAAATAATACGAGTACTCTTTAGTATCTACTTTGCCTTATCAGTGGACTTTTGTATTAAATACTCCGTACATAACTTTTTTTTGCATTATGAATTGTATAGTGATCACAATGAGTACGTTGAAATTGAGTTGGTGTAAATTGTTGAAATGAAATATTGTAGCTATTTTTTCATATAATTTTTCTTTATTTTATTAATATTTTTTTTTGCATATTTAGTAAAAAAATTCATACTCCATAAACTTTTATCAATGGTTTCTATGACTTTAGTATTGAGTTTGTCAATTTCAATACATTCAACTCATTTAACGAATTTCAATATTAATGAACTCATTGAAGAATCTATGCATAATCACAATTTTCTTTCAAAAAGCATAATCCAATTTAAAAGGTTACAGTTTTAGACTCCGCTTGGTTACACTGAAATCGGTTGAATCGACTTATCCTGATGAAATTTATGAAGTTCTGTCTGAAGTTGTTGTATTGACTTATTCTACTGATTTAAGTTTAAAAATAATTGAAATCTTACTTTTTCTTATTACTACCTTCGTCCCGCTAAGATTGTCCCATTTTACCTTTTCGGTTCGTCCCACTAATATTGTCTTTTACCAAATTAGGCAAAATTTGTGTGGCTCCAAATTACTCTTACTTTATTCTTACTTTATCAATTCAATATCAACCACATAACTCCCACATAACCCACTTTTTATTAGTTTGCGTGTCTCCCTCTCATCCAAATGTTAACCGAAGGAAATATTACAAAATTCCGCCAAATGAAAAGTTATTTGTATTTTGTTGGGTGGGAAAAGGTGCAAATAAGCCCATGTACTAACAAAAAAGGTCAAATAAGCCCTTATTTAGGAGGCTCTGTCGGGCCATCGTAATTTGGGGTGGTTCCTGGTGGAATTTTTTGATGAATTTTTTTGAGCATCTTATTCATCAAGTCTAGTTTACTCATACCAAATTTTAGCTAAAACTTCAATCGGGAAGACATTCAAATGAATTCTTGAAGATAACTGTGATTCTAACTGCACAGTTATTTTCAAGAATTCATTTGAATGCCTTACCGATTGAATTTTCAGCTGAAATTTGGTATGAGTAAACCAGACTTGATGAATAAGATGCTCAAAAAATTTCATCAAAATATTCCATCGAGAACCACCCCAAATGACGATGACCGGACAGAATCATTCTACCCATTTATTGAACGCTTGTCAAGTCCATTAGGCGTATCCCGTAAATATGCCATTGGCCTTCGGGCCAATAATTACATCCTGCCATTCAGAACTGTGTAAATAGACAGGAGGGTTCTAACTAGCATCTCTGCCAAATCTTGACTTTAAATATGTTGGATATGGACTACCCTAATCAAACACACATAATTACCACTCTTTCCCGCAATAAGCCATGGAGGCCGCTGACTGGCGTAGCTTTAATTTTACTACTCCCCCTCCCTTAATTAACATTTAAATGATGATTTTTATTATTTCTCTTTTCAATCCGATGCCGGAAGACGAGTTTTAGAAAACGCTTTAAACAGAACAAAATACAAGAAGATATGATTGGATCAAATTCTACCCGAGTTCAGAGTCAACAGTCAACAGAAATCATTTGAAGATAACTGTGATTCTAACTGCACAGTTATTTATTCTCTTCGTTCACATATCATTATAAAATAGAACTATGTAATTATCGGTACAAATTTAAAATGTCTTTTCACGCCTAAATTATGCCTATTCCATCCTAGGCTTGACTTACGCTTGGCCTTGTCACACCGTGCGTCTTTTAGAACATTGTCTCATCCTATAAAAATCATCATTTGCCAACTTGGACCGGTACATGGAATAATATCCTACCTTCTTCTCGAGTTAAGGTTCTCACTGAAAAATTACGCAGTTATTTAGACTATAATTATAAGATAATTTGAGTATATTTTGAAAATTTATTTTGACGAGTATATGATATAACGAGGACATGGCTGATAACTGCAATGTTATGAGTGTATTATTTTTAATAATTATCGATTAAATTGACATTGAAAAGTGCTTATTATTTTCTAAAATAGAAAAAGAAACCTTTACCTCGGACATCCTAAATAGTTCTGAGAACCTTAAGCTTGGCAGATGGAGTAATAAATTTAAAAGGCTAAAATTTGTGTAGAAGGGAAAGAAATAACACGAACTATACATTTTTTACTTTAAAGGAAATGACTGGACTTTTTAGGACGATTAAATAAGAAAATTTGACAAAATTTTTGGAACAGAGAGAAGACATGATTATACCAATTTCACAATTTTATCCTATCTTGAATTTGCCCACTTTTAGCATATGGTTTTTTTCTTATATATTTACCATAGGGCCGGCCCTAAGCATGTGCAGCCAGCACATTCACACAGGGCCAATTATTTTTGAAGGTTCCAAAAAAAGTAGTAGTATTGTACGGCTGCAGCCCAAATCCAAAGAAGAGAAAACAACTCCAAAAGTGAAGAACGAAAAAGAAGAGCGAATCCAAAGTGAAGAATGAATTGAAAGTGGGAAATTCAAGCGAGTGAAGCGAGCCGAAACAAGCCACAAAACCGAGTAGCCAAACCAGGGAGCGACGGCGGACGGACTCACGGCCCCCAGTGGAGGCTCACTGGCTCAACGGCCTCAGCCCGACAATGAACAACCCTTCTGCGTCTCAGTGTCCCATGGCCACAAGCTCTCAACTCTTCTACCTGCTCTGGAATGCGCCTCTGTGGATTGTGGCCCGCCTCCCCTTTTGGAAAGTTTGTTAATTTTTCCGTTTAGTTGCTAATTACTTGATTAGGTTGTTGTTATTTATTTATTTATTTATTTATTTATTTATTTATTTATTTATTTATTTATTTATTTATTTATTTATTTATTTATTTATTTATTTATTTATTTATTTATTTATTTATTTATTTATTTATTTATTTATTTATTTATTTATTTACTTATTTATTTAGTTATTGTATTTAATTGATAGTTGCTTATTTCTCTGTTTTGGTTTACAATTAGTCTTTCGTAATTTCATGGTTTTATCCAAATTCTTAAGTATATTTTAAACATGTGAAGGATTAGTGGGGGATTTCAATCATTGGTAGACGGTGGTAATTATGTTTCCAAAGAAATACTCATCTGAATATGAGAAGCTTAAAAGAAAAGAAGACTTGAAAAGTTAATTTTGTCTCGGGAGATCTTGATAAATTTGCTATTAAAGAAACTTTTTTTTTGGAACAAGGCGACTTAAATTGAAATCAAACCATTCAGCAAGGGAACAAAAAGATAAAAGGACCCCTTCCAACCACCGACCCTCGAACCAGACTTAGAAGCAATCACCCTAGACAAAACAATATGGTTCGCTGATCCTGTAGTGGGTCTAAATGAGCCTGACGTGCTAAGAATAGCCCCCCAATCGCCCCAACCTAATGCAAGAGTCTGACGGAAATAAAAACAACGGAAAAATAGCGATAATATGATCAAAATAAACAAAGACAACAAAATAAAGTAGTGGAAACCCACCTGCATCCTCCCACAGCTGACAAACATCCTCCGACCCTAGAGGTCTGGACCCGCCCCCTCTTCGTTGTTTTGACAGATCCAAATCCATGTTGTCCCCTGAAAGTCCTCGAGTAGCTTCGGTGCCGCTCTCCTTGGCCCCCCACGGGTCCAATTGCCTCATCTCTGGCACTTGTAACACTCTGTTTCCTTCCCAGATGGTTCAGAGAGCTTCCGCTTGAGTCTTCTGACATGAGCCATTTGTTAGCCTTCATCTTTTGAGTTTTCCCTCCCCCTCCCACGCGGAGACTAACCCCAAAAGGTTGGACCATCACTTTCTGTTAGGTCCCCTAGATTTTGATGATTAAATGTAATAAGTTTGATGATGCCACCCCTTTTTATTACCCCTGTATTAGACTAGTCTACTACTTATGTTCTACTTTGTTTATTTGTAATGGGATCCATATTTAGTGGTAAAGTACTCATAAAAAGCAAAGAGTACTAAAAAGAGAAGTAAACGTACCATAAAACAAAAGGAAAAAGATAAAAAAGAAAAGGTACGAAAATAGTTATCTGGTATACATTGTTAGGAATGAGCTAGCTGGAAAACACCAGAAATCAGCAGCCTGCCGAAATACTTGGCAGCCAGCTGAAAACTGGGTTTTCAGTTAAACTCACCTGAAATCCAATTCTCTCTTCTCTGAGCACAAAACAGTTAAACAAAAGACCAACTTGCAGTCAAACAATTTGATGAAAAGTAAATTTATAAGAGATTTTTATCACATTATAAATTTCTTATAAATGTATTTTACCAAAAGCAAGTGTTCATTAGTTTGTAAAGGAAGCATTGAAATATCACTCAGCTTTATACTAGTTTCTACGCGTAAGAAAATAAAGATAATGCATCTTTTATCTTGCATTGAAATGTGTAAACAAGTTGAGCTGAAGATTGTTGATCCTTGTCACTACGTGACAAAGACAAACCATGTTGCCTCAGTCAAGTGGAACAAAGCAAGTAGATCAAGCTACGATCAAGATTCATTTTCTCAGCCAATGGTGGAGATGCAATGATCAAGTCTATAAATACAGAAGGAGTGCGGGAATACCAAGTGTGGTAAAACGAGAGGAGCCAAGTGGATAGAAGAAAATCATACTCTACTTGATGAAATCCAGCCAACTGATTTTCCTTCTACACTTTGGCTACCACCCCACTCGTCTTATCCTCTTAGACTAGCTACAATTCATAAAAATCTATAGAGCTTAGATTAGTTGGTAGTTTAGCAATACACCTATGTATTCTAGACTAGTGTTAGACATTCTGGGGGGGCTTTGTGATCAAATTCAGAAGGTGAGAAAGGTCAAGAACATGAGTAGCTCTTAGCAAGTCAATGCCATTAGTGAAAAACCTTGGAAGGACTGAATAGCTTGGAACAGTGTTTAAGTTCCTTGTGAAATAAGTTGCGACTGGATGTAGGAGGATTACACCACCTCTGAACCATGATATATCTTGTGTCACTTATACATTCTGCTCCTAACACAAATTCAGTACTCACTCACTTTCACAACAAAACAACTTGCTCACTAAAACTGTCCAGTGAACTTCAATTCTCAGTTCACTGTGAGTCATCTCTTTGTTATCTGTTCTTCAAAGTGACTTATTTCTATAGGTCTAAATCCTTCATACTCATGTGTTAGACTAGTTCTAAAGCCAGTCAATATGTTAGAGTATAGTTCTTCACTATACCTTAACTAAAATAAGCAGAAACTACTTTTCAGCAGCCTGCTCCTGAGGTTTGGCAGACAGCTCCCAAATTGTCTGGCAACCATCTCCTTCAGGTTTCGGCAGCCTGCTCCCTGAGTCATCTGTTTCTGGCAAATACGTTTGTACCATGTTTAACCCATCTCTCATAACTAAAAGGGTCATAACATTTGTTTCTATAAAGTGTCACCCTGTTGAGGTCAAGACTTCCGTTACATGTTTCAATATCTCCCAAAAGATATTGGAATACATCCAGTTAGAGAAAAAGGGGCTGAAAAATGAAAAGATTTAAAAGTCTATTCACCCCCCCCCCTAGACTTTTACCTCACTTGGGACTCAGTTTGTATCTAGGGCACTCATCACTTTCTTCTCACACTCGTAGGGTAGAGGAAAAAACCTGTCAGCATGGCCAATAATACTGCAAGCAAAACAAAAACTCGACAATTTTTCATATTTAAAATCCACTCTATGCTTCGCTTCCCTCCCTTTCCTCAGTGTCATACCTATTTTCATAGCCTTACCGACATCCATACAGACCCTAATCCTCATGTAAGAATTCCAACTCTCTTCAAATTGACTTTTGTCAAAATTGATAAATTTACCAATGAAATTATCAACTCTCCTAGCAACACCTAAATTCATATAATCATAAGGTACGTTATGTACCTGCACCCAAAACTCAGCCTCATTCAGGGGAACCCTAAGAGGAACATCCCCCGGTTTCAACGACCACAATACCAATAAATTTTGTTCGTATAGCCACTGTCTGCCACCTAAAACACGTTCCATGTCAACAATATGATAGAAAGTGAACAAGTACCTTTTCTCGCCTATCTCTTTGATAGATATTTCTTTACCGGTTGGGGCGCCAGATAGACGCCATGAGATCCCTGAGCACTGGAAACTTCACTTTTATGTCCGTGTGAACAGTGCCAACCACCGGAAAGGTATTGCTCCGGTTCGAAGCCTCCTCCTCGCCATCGACCTCCTCGTCCAGAATCAATTCTTCCTCATCACCACCGAGCACCATGTTATCACACTTGACAACCATTTCCTCCATCTCTGCCATGATCAAATGATGACCTATTGGGATCGAAAAGCTGGCCCTGCCTTCTTTCCCTTCAAAAAAGCCCGAGCCCGATGCTTTGCTGCGAACGAAGACCCCAAATCCGTCGATCAAATTGCGTCGCAAAAGATCGCACCGAGAGAAGAAACCCTACGCACGAGGGAGGCGGCTGTATATAGACAGGGGCGGATCTACACAGGCAGTAGGGGGGGGGGGCAGCTGCCCCCAATAAAGGCTCACTAAACTCCTATATTTCTTAATAAATATTAGGAATCCAAGAAATTGCCCCCAACAGAAAAAACTGTTGCCCCCTATAACCCAGGACCGTCCCAGTCCAAGTTGTGAAAATCTGGAAATCGGACTTCAGGATCATAGAATCACCCAAACGGCTAAACCCGTTTGATGATTGATGATGACGGCTTAATAGAAATTAGAGAAATTTAGAGAAAATCCTTCAATTGTTAGCCTTCATGCATGACTCCTATGAGTGGAGAAGTAGTCAAGCTCTGCAACAGGATACGAAGGCCAAGACTCCCCACGTTAGCCACACATTTGTTCTGCTATTCAATTTAGGGGGTGTTTGGAACTGATTCTGCTTCTGCTTCTTTTTTAAAAGCAGAAGCAGAATCAGAATCAGTTTTCAGAAGCTGGTACCCCCCCAGCTTCTAAAAAAACTGATTCTGAGAGTAAATTAGAGCTCCAGAAGTCCTTCTGGAATTTCACCCAAACACTCCAGCTTCTGCTTCTGCTCTCTGAAGAAGCAGAATCAGTTTTGAGAATCAGATTCAAACACCCCCTTAGTTTTAATTTTCTTTATCAATTGAATGGCCCATGAACTTGCTTGGTTTTGTTTAGTCCTGGGTAGAGATTTTATTTTTATGTAAACATAAATATTAAGTCATCTTATTAAACTTATTATTATGTTATTAATTCATTATAGGATTATTGATTTATCTAATTGTAAGAAAATAGAAAATGTCATTTAGTAATTAAAAATTCTAAATGTATACTACATCTGTCCCAAATAGTTTTGCAAAGTCAATATTTTTGGTCAATCAATGTTAAGGTTACATTTTCCCTATTGATAATTAATTGAATTTTAATAATTAAAATTTAAATTCTCAAAAGCTACATTAAAATCTCTGTATAGTTGCGAAATTCAAATTAAAATTTAATTACGAATTGATATCTTAATTAAGTGAATAAATGAATCTGTTTGACTCAAAAGTCAATTTTGCAACTCAATTTGGGGCGGATGGAGTACTATAATATTACATCTGTTACGATAACTTTGCCATCTTATAGAGTTTGGTACATGTGAATAGTTGTGACGTTTTCTGTTAAAACTTTTGCTATTGTAATATTACATATAGTTTATTACTTCATCCATCTCATTTTACCTGTCTTACTTAATTTCCTTTTAGGTTGTCCCAAAATAAGTGTCAAAAAGGAAATATGGCTGACATTTCACTTTGTTATATTCAAATCTCAATGACAATTTTTTTTTCAATCACTTCATTAATAATTATGCTAAACCAGAACAAGTCATATAAAATAGGATGGAAGATTGAGGTAGCGTCCAGTCCAGCTGGTCGCCGACTTACTCTCCCTTACGGGAGGTCTCGGGTTCGAAACTCAATGGAGTGAGTTTCAGCCCTGATTATTCCAGACCCCCCAACCTCCCTCCCCCAGACGCCCCCGGGGAAAAGAAAAAAAGAACGGAAGATTTTTTTTTTCTATTGTATTTCCTAATTTTTCCGCCCCCAATTAAATTTTATCCTGGATCCGCCACTGCATATAGAGAAAGGCATTCTAATTAAATTCAATAGGACTGCTATTAAAGAAACTTGAAAAGCTGAAGAAGGTGAACAACAAGATGCTGAAAATTATGTGGAAATAACACGGTTAATACAAAAATTACTTGTATTGGAACTTGGAAAATAAGACCCAATTTTTTTATTGCACAAGGTCGCTATTTTCTCGGGACCGACTTTGATTTACCATTTAGGGTGCTTATAGACAAATCACTCGCACAACTCAAGTAATTTAAGCGTAAAACGGCATTTAGGTTGGTGGTCCATAATTACGCAAGAGCGATGATTATTTATTAAAAGAAAAATGCTTGGGGTACATAAAATGTGTACACATTTTGTGTACACATGTCTGTCCTTCACAGACAAGTTGTCTATCACAGACAACTTGTCTGTGACAGACAACTTGTCTGTGAAGGACAGACATGTGTACACAAAATGTGTACACATTTTGTGTACCTCTAGAAAAAGCGATAATTTTACTAAGCACGTTACGTGCACTTTACTGAGCACGTTATCCGGTTCATGCCTGGAAAATTACTCGGTATTAGGCTTTATAATTGTCAAGTTAAAATATACGTAGTACTAGCTAGTAGTATAATAATACGGAGTATTACGCAGTAGTAGTGACGTGATATACCTCCTATAAGCCACTTGAAAAATCTTGAACAAATAACATCAACTTACACATCTTTTATTCAGTGTTTTATTTTAAAATCAAATTAAAAATACAATTAATTCCTAATTTTATACTCCCCATTCCATGAAACATGATCATATTAACTTTTTAATGTAATGATGACCAAGTCTGACTAATGATATTTTTAGAACGAAATTATTTAAATTAAAGTATGAAAATTATATGAGGTTGTTTTTTATTAAAAATATTTTCATGACAATATAAAAGTTAAATTTCTCACAAATATGATAATAGACTAGGACACAAATTTTATATCTGGTAATGGATGACCAAACTAAATCAGGCTTAAACATACCAGGTGAGATCAGACTAGCCAATTCAAGCCCTATTATTAAAAACATCCCAATTCATTCACTAAGAATATGAAAGTAGCATTTTATAATGTTTTAATTGGTTTGAAAATTTTCAGAATTAATCTAAGCACTCAGGCACCTCATAGTAGTCTCGCATTTAGGCGGGACTAGTCGGCCGTCGATCGGGTGCCTAGTGTGATTGGTAGAACAATGATATTTATTGAAAGAGATATTACCCAAACTAGGACTATAAATGTTTGAAAATTGCAAAATAAGACTTCCATGTTTTTATTCCCAAAATAGGACTAATTACTGCCATATTTTGACAGTACCAGACTTCAAACATGGCAGTATTTTTCAAATTTGGCAGTAATTAGTCCTATTTTGGGAATAAAAACATGACAGCCCTATTTTTGAATTTTCGAACTTTTTTAGTCCCATTTCGAGAACTTTCCCTTATTAAAATCATTGCCCAAAATCATTGATGTAAATAACATCAATTGGCCAAATTTTATACGATCGAGAGAGTATATATATATTTGTTACGAAAATTTTGATTTACTTTAGGAATTACATATATTGATGTTTCTATTGAAGGTTTTTTTAAATTCATTATAATTCAATTAACGTGTTTATATATTATTACTTTTTCTCTTTATATTTTTGTTGCATACATCAGAACAAGAAATCTTTTTCTGGTCTTTCCGTATGTTGTAACATTAAATTAATTAATTGTTCTTGTGATTGTTTAAATTTCAATTAAAACTACATTTTAATACTCACTCCGTCCCACTAAGATTGTTTAATCTTTTGTTTTCGGTCCGTCTCAATAAAATTCTCTCAAGCCAAATTTGATAAAGTTTTTGTTATTCTAAAGCATTCTTACTTTATTCTTACTTTATCAATTAAATACCAACCACATATACTCACTTTCTTAATAACAGTGTCACATCTTCATGTCTCAATGTTAATAACGGTGTCACCTCTTCATGTCCCACATGAACTACACTTTAATACTCTCTTTGTCCTCTTCATGCTCAAATGATAGCCTGTCATGTAAGCCCTAGGATATATCTGGCCTCGCTGGAATCCTGCTCAGGTTCGAGGTCTGTTGTCCAGGCCTGCCTAGTTGTGGGTTCCCTTCGCGGGTAGAGTTCCTAGTTAGGCCGAAAGGCTAGGCTATTAGTTATTATCAATTCCGATTAATGGGATGTTCCTGTTGATGGGCTTTACTTCAATTCGTTCTTGGGCCATGACTATGATGCATGGTACCTTGAAAGGGATCAAAAGAAACAATGTATGTAATTCCTAAAGTAAATCAAACTTATCGTAACAAATATGTATTCTCTTAATCCTATAAAATTTGGCCAAATTAACTTTTTAAATGTAATGGTCATAAATTTTGGACAATGATTTTAGTTGTTATCATTGTTCTATAAATTGCTTCAGGCGCCCGACTAGTCCCGCCTAGGTGCTAGATTGCTATGTGGTGCCTGAGCGTTCTGAGTATAATCTAGCTAGATAACAACATATCAAATCTGAAAATTTTCAAACCAATTAAAAACATTCTAAAAAAATTTCACATTCTTAGTGCATGAATCGGTATGCTTTTAATAATATGGCTTGAATAATTTTGTTGTCTGATCTCACCTGGTATGGTCACCGATTACCAGATATAAAATTTGTCTTAGTCTATTATCATATTTGTGAGAAATTTATTTAATAAAGAACAACCTCATATAATTTTCACACTTGGTCGTCACTAAATAAAATAAGAGTTATTATGACCAAGTTTTATTAATCGAGCGAGTATAAGATTAGGAATTAATTGGATTAATTATATAATTCTAAAAATAAATCATTGAGTAAAAGATTTATCTTTACAAATTACATTACATGTACTATACAAAGCTCTTTGTCTAAGTTGATGTCTGGTATTTGTTCGAGATTTTTCATGTGGCGTACAGGAGTATTATACTACTAGCACGTAGTTTATTTTAAGTTTTTTTTTTCGAAAATAGTACTCCCTCCGTCCCTGAATGTTGTTCCAATTGCGGATTACGAAGGTTGACCGACGATAAAGTTAAATGATCCCTGTGAAAACTCGGATTATTTTTAGTAAATAAAATTTACATATTAAGAAACTACATTAAACCCGCTACAAAGCCTGCAAAAAAAAACAATTTTCATAAAGTTTTGATACAAAAAGTAAGAGTTTAAGAGTGATTTAAGTTGACTCTCGAAAAGCGAAATGGAAGTAAATTTAGGGACAGAGGGAGTATATTTTAATTTGATAAGTACGGAGTATTATTTAAACGTAAAGGGAGTATTTTTCCAGGGCATGAGCAGATGAGCCGTATTACGTGCTCATTAAAGAGCTCGCAACGTGCTTAGTAAAATTTTCGCTAGCAAAAGCCTTATTAAAATGGACAAAATCAAAGACATATCCTCAAAAAAATAAAGTGTACGAATAAAAATATTCGTAATGTTCACCCAAATTTGCTAAATAATGTTCTTGAGTTTAGGTTAGGGGGAATAGATGAAAGGATCTGCATTGACACATTCTATACGAGTATATGTTGCTCAAAAAAGATGTTACCATTTGTGAATAAAACATGAACATTAACATTTGTACGTCTGAACAAGTTAGTCGTTTCATTCCGTAAAAACATCAAGGTTATAGTAATTAAACACCGTGTGAGAATGAATACTGTGATTTAATTTCAATTTACGAGTTTAAGAGTGTGTTTGGTTTGGT